GGGCGCTTGAGGCCGTGTCGGCCGGCGCCTCGCCAGGCGGGGCTGCGGCCGAGCTATTGTTTTCCCTTCCTGCTTGTTTTTCCGGAAAACCCTCCCCTAATTAAATAAAAACACCCGTTGGACAAGGGAACAAAACCACCCCCCCCCCAACTCCTGGCACAAACCCGTGCTGTGAAAGGGCGAAGCACCCACGGGAGAGGTCCCCGGGGAAGGGGAGCGATGGGCAAGCGGAGCGGTGAAGGTAGGTGATAGGTGAGGGGGAGGGATGTGTTTTACCCCCCTGCCAGGTTTCCATGCATGGTTGTGGTCCAAAAATGGGTGGTTTGGGGGGGTTTTTGATGACGTATGGGGTGTATAGAGCCTGGGCAGTGCTGCCAGTTCCAGGATGGCTTCATCCTGGAGCATTCCCGGCTTTGGGAATTGTGGGAAGATGCGAGCGTCGCATCATCCTTAAAAACAACAACAACAACAAAACCCTTTATGGCCTCAGAGCTACAGAGGCAGGGCTGATGGTCTCATCCAAGGGTCTGGGAAGGGAGAAAGCAAATTATAGGGGGTTATGGATGAAAACCCAAAGTGTGGGTGGTTTGGGGACTTCTTGCATCATTTGAATTAATCTGTAAAAAGAGGATTTTAATGCTCCTTCTTCCTTTAGCAAAAAGCCAAGTTGTGGCATTTGAAATAGTTTCAGCCAGGTTCTTTCTCCCTGAAATGCAGCCGTGTTCAGATTGAGAAAAGGACGTGGGTTTCTTTTTATTTTTATGTCTAGAGGAGCAAGTGCAAACATCGTATTCAGCTACTTATTAAAGCACTTTTCTTTAATGCAATTTAATGCTGAAGGTCAAGGGTAAATGTTTTGGTGGTTGCAGATGGTGTGGAAAAGCAGGCTGCTGTTTTCATGGGAGTTTTGAGGTTGAAAAATTTTAAGGAAATCTCCAGGTTTCGTGCCTGACAGAAACTGGTGTCTGGGTCTAACTGCTCTGCTCGACATGAGATAGGGACTTAAATCTGCTTTTTATGCCCCAAAATTCCTGTCCTGGTGCTAATACAGGAATGAGGTGCCTGTGGTCGATAGTGCTCCAGGGATGAGGGTGATAGATGTGGCTATAAATGGATAGAGAGGCCAGTCAGGTTGGGGATGGCCTTCTGGGGGGCTACACATATGGATATTTAAATATATCCAGGGTGACCCAAAGTACTGGTCCCTCGGGGGGTTTAGTGCTGCAGGAGCATTGAAGGATCTAATTTTCAATACCTACTAAAATAAATTGGACTAGATGATCTTTCGAGATCCCTTCCAACCCCTAGGATTCTGTGAAATTAGCATTTTATCTAAGCACAAGTGATGCAAACCCAGCAGCAGCCTCCTTTCAAGGGAGGTGATCGGGTGTTGGTGTGGGAAACTGAGGCACGTGGGGGCACGTGGGTGGAAGGGGAGTGGGGCTGTGCTCAGATATTATCACCTATAGCAAGATTTTTGGTGTATTCACCTGTGAGAGGCACCAGCATCTCCTTCGACCATCATTCCTTTATCACTCTTCTCTCTTCCTTGCATCCCCCACCATCAGGACTCATCCAATCCCTCCATCCCCCCTTACCCCAAGTATCCTCCTTGTCCTCCAGCCACCCTCCCACCCTGCTGGCTGATTCAGGCTGGGACTTTGCCATCACTGCTTGGGAAACCTCTTAAAACAGAGCCAGAGGGCAATGTCAGGATGGAGAGGGCTGGCTGGAGGCACTGCCATCCCCTCAGGGTGGGGAATTTTATGGCCATGGTGCTTTCGAATAATTTTGGGTGGGTTGTTTTTTTTTTTGATGCCAAGGATGCCAGGGCTCTGCTTGGAGGTCGGTGGTTCCTGGAGGGGGAGACAGTGGTTTTTTTGGGATTCAGTCCAGCTTAATGCCTGGAAGGGCACCCAGTGAGCACCCCGAGGCCAGGCCTGGGTGGGATGGGTGACCTGTGATGCCATGTCAGGTTGAACCAATGCAGTGGGGGCCACGGTGGTGTTGGTGGAAAAGAGCAAAACTGTGTTTTGTATTTATAGAAAAATTACAACGTATTTAAAAATATATATCTTTAAATATATATTTTTAAAAGGTATTTTAAATATGTTTTTAAAATACTTGTGTTTTCCCAGGGGAAGGGGTAATGGGGTTAAACTCTCCTATTAACCCCAATTAATCAGGCTTTTTCTTCCTGGATGGGGTTGCAGGGACAGGAGCTGCCGGAGGGGTATTTTGAGGCAAGTTGGGGTCTTTCTCGGTATCTCACCCCAGCGGGCGCCTCTCGTCTTGGCTGGGGCTCCAGATCAAGGCAAACTCATGAAAAGCATCTGATAGCAATAAAGAGCAAAAAAAAACCTCCTGCTGACAAGCCCGGGCTGAAGTCACCGACGGGACGTGGCCAAGACACGCATTGTCCTCGCCACTGCTGGGACTGATTAGAACCGCCTGGCAAGCCCCGGCGCTGGGTGAGGAGTCAGCCCCTTCTGCCAGAAAACCTCGATCCAGAGTTGGGGAAAAAAAAATAATCCAACACAACAAAACCCCAACAAAACAACAACAAAAAAACCCACCCAGCTTTTGTTTTCCAGGCTGGGCTGTGCGGAGGCGATGCCGCCCGGCAGACCCGATTCCGCCTGTTTTTGCACCAAGTTCTCCACAGCTTGGGGCTACCTATGCAGGGAATGAGGTGAGATGAGGAAAAACCTGGATTCAGGGTTTTAAAAAAATTCTTCATAACAAAAGCAAGGCAGGAGTGTCCCTGGCAAACAGAAATCCCCTCTGCTTGATATTTATTATATCATTATTTATTCTCTGTCTGTCTGGGGGGGTTGGGAGGCTGAACCATCCGAGATCCTCTCGTCAAAATGTCCTTGGCTTCAAAAATGGGGGGAGGTGGATGGATGTTCCAGCTGGGATGCAGAATTTTATGACAAATAAATACAGAGAGTGTATTTTTTAAAAAATATTTTCTTATTTATTTATAGATGTATATACATATATATATAAAATAATTAGAATCCAAACACATTAAAGTATTCATGTATTTTAACATATTTATATATATCTATCTATCTATTAAACCCCTCTCTTTTGCTGCCTCTTTGCCCCACTCCAGGCTGCAGAGCCAAGAGTTTGGAGAAGAGCTGGTTTTCCCTTATTTTTCCCCATTTTCCCTTTTTTTTTGATGGGCGTCTCCAGGACCATTGGGATGGTGGGAAGCTGATGACCCCATTGGTTGCAGAGCAGAAATGGAGTGAAAATGAAAAATTTTGGCAGGGAAGGGGAAGGGTTTTCTTTTTTCTTTGCTTGTTGAGAAAACAGAGAAGAAAACACCCTCTTTTATTATTTAAACATTTCTGTCTGTGTGTTCTTTTTGCCTTTGGCTCAGAGAAAAAGAAAAGACAAACAAAATGTGTCTTGCTGGAATTCGTGTGTTGATCAAGAGCTGCCATTTGTCCTAGAAAATGTGGGAGCTGAGAAGCTCTTTATTGGAGCAGGAGGTGCAGGATAAACCTGGCAGGTTGAACCCTCCCTCTCCACCACTGTTCTGCACCATGTCCTTGGTTACATCCCACAGTGGTGGTGGAAGAGGACATGAATGTGGCTGGATCTGTCTCCATCCATGAGCTGGGTGTTCAGCATGGAAAGCCAAAGTGAAGGGAAAGGAGTTATCCCACCTGCTTTTAATACAGAGTGTGGGATTTAGGGTATGGGATATCCTTCATGTTTGGGATCATAGACTTATAGAATGGTTTGGGTTGGAAGGGACCTTAAAGATCATCTAGTTCCAACCCCCCTACATGGGCAAGGACACCTCCCACCAGACCATGTTGCTCCAAGCCCCATCCAACCTGCCCTTGAACACTTCCAGGGACAGGGCATCCACAACTCTTCTGTGCAACCTTTTCCAGAGTCTCATCACCCTCATAGTGAATAATTTCTTCCTAATGTCTAACCCAAATCTCCCCTCTTCAGTTTAAAGCCATCACCCCCTTGTCCTATCACTCCATGCCCTTGTAAAAAGTCTCTCCCCAGCTTTTCTGTAGCCCTTTCAGGTACTGGAAGGCTGCTACTAGGTGTCCCTGGAGCTTTCTCTTCTCCAGGCTGAAAAACTCCAACTTTCAAGACCATCCACAGGCTCAAGTGTCCCCAGGAGAGGTGATGAACGTCCAGGGGTGGTTTACACCATGCAGAGCATATGGGAGCTACATTAAATATCCAGCAAACGAGGCCTGGGGAGCAGTGTTGGTGGTCATGGCATTTCCCAGCCTGGGGGTTCTGCTCCCTGACCTGAATTGTTCCAGGTGGGGCCTTTCCCTGGACGATTTTATATGGGCATTAAAAAAGGGCACAAGTTGTCCTGGTGAATGCAGCAAATGCCAACATGAGTCAGAGCCCGTGGCATGATTTGGTAGACGTTAGAGAATGTTGTCCTGTATGTAATCATGGTGTGGAAGCAAGGAAGTTTAAAATCCTCCTTTCCTCCTGGTTAGGTGGTTAAGTCTCATCTGGTGCCTAAAATTGTCTTCCCATGTGGGGAAAATATCCCCCCAGGGTTCCTGTCTTTTTCAGGAAGTCAAGGATGTATTGAGGTGTCTTCTCCTCTGCGTGGCATCTCCTCCCTGTGATCACAGACAGCTGAGCTAGGCTTTGGTTGTCTTTGGTGGTGGGGTGACGTTGGTGCCTCCAAACCAGGCTGAAGTAATGTCACTGGGTGCTTGGATGGCCTTGGCCTGTCCTTTCACTGGACTTTCTCCTCCTTGGTTGAGTCTCCTGGACTCAGGTTGATGGTGGAGCTTCTTGGTTGGTGTCTCCAAACTGATGATGGAGCTTCTTGCTTGTCATCTCCAAGCTGGGGCTGACAGTGAAGCTTCTCAGTTGGCATCTCTAGCTTGGGATGCATGGGCAGGCATGGGCGGCATGGCCGAGTGGGTGTTTTCCTGTGGGAAGAGCCCTCTTGACTGATTTTATTCCCTTCCTCTCCACAGCTGATAGTAGAAAAAACGACTGACTACCCTTCGGCTGAGTACTCCCTGGTGGAGGATGTAGCCCTCCACTTCACGTGTTTGATGGACAGACTGAACGAGCAGCGCCTCTTTCAGCCGGACCTGTGCGACGTGGACATCGTGCTGGTGCAGCACAAGAGCATCTTCCCGGCGCACAAAGGGGTCCTGGCAGCCTACAGCCAGTTCTTCCACTCCCTCTTCACCCAAAACAAGCAGCTGCAGCGTGTGGAGCTCTCGCTGGAGGCCCTCACCTCGCAGGGCCTCCAGCAGATCCTCAACTTCATCTACACCTCCAAGCTCCTCGTCAACTCCTGCAATGTGCAGGACGTGCTGAACGCGGCCGCCGTGCTGCAGATGAACAACATTGCCTCCTCCTGCCAGGACCTCCTTGACACCCGCTCCCTCAGCCTGGCTGCTGACATGGCCCTGCCTGCTGAGGGCTGCGCTGGACCCCCACCCTACTACTGTGAGATCAAGCAGGAGGTGGATGCTCCTCATCCCAAGATTTATGCCCGGGAAGGCAACGACCCCTACTCAGTGCGGGTGGAGGATGGAGCAGGTGGTGGGACGCTCCCCGCTGGTCCAGCCAAGCAGTACTACAAGGAGGAGAAGGATGGTGGTCCCGGGACTGTCTGTAAGATGGAAGGTGAAGAGTCTGAGGAAGACCTGGATAGCCAGGGCTCGTACAACCGGGAGCAGATCATTGTGGAGGTGAACCTCAACAACCAGACCCTCAACGTCTCCAAGGGCACGGAGGGGAAGGCGGCCGCCAGCGAGGCGGCTGTGATGGGGCGGCCTGAGGGTGATGGACGTGACACAGAGGAGGATGGGGAGGAGGAGAATGAGGAAGGGGAGGAGGAGGAGGAAGAGGAGGAGGATGCGGAGGTGGGCGAGGAGGAAGAGGAGGAGCACAGCGAAGAGGAAGACCTGGAGGAGACGACGGAAGAAGAGGATGATGATGACGACGACGAAGACGCGTTGGAGATGAAAAGGGAAAAAGGCGGGTCCCGCAGAGGCAGCCGGGCATCCAAAGCCACCAAACCTGCCATGGCAACCAGGTCCCAGGAGATGGCCAAAGCGGAAGAGGAGGAGGAGGAAGAAGAGGAAGGCCAGCGAGGGAGGAAGAGGAAAAAAGAGCAGGACGGTTTGGGGCAGAAGGTGAAGCTGGAGGAGAAGCAGCACTACCCGTGCAAGAAGTGTCCCCGGGTCTTCAACAACCGCTGGTACCTGGAGAAGCACATGAACGTCACCCACAGCCGCATGCAGATCTGCGACAAGTGCGGCAAGCGCTTCCTGCTGGAGAGCGAGCTGCTGCTGCACCACCAGACTGACTGCGAGAAGAACATCCAGGTGAGACAGCCCTGGAGGTGTCCCACCAGGGCATCAACATCCCACCAGGGTGTCAACATCTCACCAAGAGGTGGAACATCCCACCGGGGATGGACATCCCACCAAGGTGGGAACGTCCGATGAAGGGAGGAGCATCCCCCTATGATGGGGCGTCCCAGTGGGGGGGAACATCCCACCAAGGGGGACACATCCCACCAAGGGATGGGGTATCCCACTGGGGATGAGCATCCCACCAAGGTGGGGACCTTCCAATACCTGAAAGAGACCTACAAGAAGGCTGGGGAAGAGCTTTTCACAAGGGCATATAGGACAGGGGGTCATGGTTTCAAGCAAGAGAAGGGCAGATTTAGGTTGGACATTAGGAAAAAGTTCTTTACTGTGAGGCTGGTGAATCACTGGAACAGGTTGCCTAGAGAGGTGGTGGAGGCCCCATCCCTGGAGACATTCAAGGTCAGGCTTGATAGAGCTCTGGGCAATCTGTTCTACTGTGAGATGTCCCTGCTTATTATAGGGAGGTTGGACTAGATGATCCTTAGAGGTCCCTTCCAAGACATTCTATGATTCTGTGATTCTCACCAAAGGAGGAGCATCCCACTGTGACGGGACATCCCGGGGGGAGGACATTGCACCCACCAGGAAGGGTGTCCCACCCAGCTACACCATAGATGGGATCATGCTCAAATGATCTTTTTGATGTTGTGGGTAGCACATGGCAGATGGGAGGGAACCTTGCTTCACCCATGACCTGTGTTCAGGCTCAGGAGAGTCCCGTGGTGGCATGGGACTGTAGGATTTGTGCCAGAGGACTGTGGCTTCTCCTTGGCCGGCCGAGTGGAAACATGGAGTAATTTTTGAAGAGTAATTTTTCTTTGAGTTTATTCAGTTAATCTGACTAAAACACTGGGAGCCCCTGATGGAGACACACTCCAGCCGTTCCCACCCAGGCTGAAACCAATTTAGCTTAATTCACAGATTTGCTGACACCAGTTAAAATGGTTTTAATCTGCCTTTTGTGCTCTTTAGCTTGCGTATTAACGAGTTTCCGAGCGCGTTTCTCATCCATGCATGGCTCGGGCTTGGTGTGTCCTTGGCCTAATGCTAATGAGATTCTGCATTTGCAAATTGCCTCTGTTAAATCAGTTCAGTTCAGTTTTGGGGGGGAATCCCATCAGAGCAGCAAACATCTGCGTTCCTGCAGACCCCTCCAGCCCATCTCCTGATCCCCCACGAGCTGTTTCGTGTGATGCTGCCACTACTGATTAAAAAAAATACTGGCTTGTGGAGAGCTTTGCCCGTCGTCCTTCCCACCACGGATGGATTTTAAATGATCTTGCAGCTCTCCCAGATGAAGGTAACGCAACCCAAGTGCCACTGGAGCCCTTCACTGATGGTATCCCAAATAAAATGGGTGATGAAGCACATCTCAGTGCTCAGGCATGCAGGGGATAGGGAGGCAGGAGCAGTCTTGGCTTGGGCGGGTAAAGGAACTGCTGCCTGCACTGGCCCTTTGGTGCATGTTCCTGAAAATTTCACAATGCTGAGGTTGCTTTTTTTGGATGCTTTTTCCCAGAGTGGATGAGTGCAGCTCTGATAGCTGCCTGCTGGTGGCTGTTTTGGAGCCCAGACAAAACATTCCCAGAATGGTTCTTCAGCCTCATCTGCTTTCCTGAAGGATAACATGGGGCTGTCACCTCATTGCCTTTTTTTTTCCCCAGTTCTCATCCCTTTTCCAGGTCATTTCTGAATAGGATGAACCACAGCTACCCATGTGGTACATCCTTCCACAGAAACCATGGGTCATTACTTCTCACTTAGCTGAGCATCTTGAATTTTACAAATAGCCAGATTCACTCCCTTTGCTCTGGTAATGTTGAATAACTTTATAAATACACCATGGAATTATAGCTGGATGGAAAAGGCATTTTTGTTTTATCTCTACTTTTGTTTTTAAACTGGAAGAGGGGAGATTTAGGTTAGACATTAGGAAGAAATTCTTTCCTGTGAGGGTGGTGAGAGCCTGGCCCAGGTTGCCCAGGGAAGCTGTGGCTGCCCCATCCCTGGCAGTGTTGAAGGGCAGGTTGGATGGGGCTTGGAGCAGCCTGGGCTGGTGGGAGGTGTCCCTGCCCATGCAGAGGGGGTGGGACTGGATGATCTACAAGGTCCCTTCCAACCCAAACCATTCCGTAATTTTTTGATTCTTTATCTATAATGGATGGTCTTTATTTCTTGTTTTTTTAGCCAGATCCATGGAGGGATCATCCCTCTTATCCCATTCTGGTCTTTCTTCATTTCCTTGTTTTGTCCCCAGATTTCATCCATGATGCTTTAGGGGTTAGGCTTCATTTTGCTCCCTGTGATCATTTCCCATCACCATCCACAGTCTCTGTAGCAGGCATCCTGCCTCCACCACCTGAAAAACAATTAATCTTTTGCTTGATCAGGTTGTTTCTCCAACTCTTTTTGTTGGCTGCCCTCAATATGGTTTTCCACTTAACCTGAGATAATTCATCTTCTCATTTTTCTCCCCTCATTTGGATGTCATTTCCTCATTTCCACATTTTTGAGTGATGCTTTTTGTGGCAGCTGAGGACACAGATCTCAGCCCTCCAGGGTGCTTAGTCCCAGCCCGCGGGCTTTCCTACATCTGCTGCTTTCACTCTACCTTTAATTTTAAATTTCCCCTGCAGCCTATTCCATTTTAAGTGGAGAGATTGGATATTGATGTGCCTTTGATAACAGGCTCTGGTCCTGAGTTTGTCTTGAAATGTTTCTTAAAGCAGAAGTAAAACCATTTTGATCCATGGAAGTATTTACATAGGAACAGTGAAACTCAGAGGACTACTCATGGTGATACTCAGGCATGGCAAGATGAAGAAGAGAAGTGTTGGGAATGCCTCTCTGACCCTAATTTTGCCTCCCAGGCACTTAATATAAACATATGTAGGAAGCTGCTGTGGTTACATGGCATAGTGGTGTATTTTCCACGATATCACAGCCTCATTTGGTGCAAAACTTGATTGAAGCCCATCAGTGAGTATCTGTTCCCCTGGGTAGGAAGAAGATGGAGGCTGTGCTGCCTACACTGCTTCAAGCCCTGCTGGGAAGTCCAGCCTGGGCTTCCTGGTACTGCTCAGCCATGCTGTTGCTAGATGCCTTCAGGGCAGGAATTTTTTTCTTAATGCACCTGTGAGAAGAGTTGCTTTTATCGCTGTTGGCCAAGGGAAGGATGAGTCATGGAGAGATGAAAGGGAAGGAGTGTCCTGTGGCTTCTGGCAGGGTCTTCAGCAGGGTGCTGCCTACTGTACCCATGCTCCAGCAGTGGTTTTCCATGAGGATCTTGCTCTCCCATCTTCCCCCGAGCACTGAACTGATCTCATGCTGAAGCTGGACCTTTTCCTGAGAACTTTGCAAGAACTGTTGAACTTGGAGCTGAAATAAATCTCTACCAGAACCCTGGGGAGACTTTGCACATCCCATTGTTCTGCTTGTGCTGATGGACTATTTTTTAGGTCTGTTTTGGTCCATTTGGATACGATTGGAAAACTCATTTAGTGGTTAAGCATCCATAATACCAGCTGAAGGCTGAAGTTGTGCTTCCCTGGCTTGGCCTTCTCCTTGTTTCTGTATTCTTTGCAGCCTTCTGCTGCTCAGAGGGTTGGTTTATTTCTTTTAAGTAATGGCTTCATTGTGAGGGAAAATGAAACCCCCAGCAGGGAACAGGACTTTGGTGTCTGAGCTGCTTTTTATGCAATCCTAATATATCCATTGATGGAGAGGCCCTGTGCTTCCCTGGAAAGACATTGTTGCTTCCCTGTCCAGTGGCTAGAAATTTGAGTTTTGGAGGCTTGGAAGTGGCAAGGTCTGCAGGAGACGTGCTGGCCATTAGGATTTTTGATATCTCAGCTGTAGGTTTCATCATGATGTCCCCTTCCAATGGCAAAACCAAAATGCTGGTGGTGCCTGGGCACCTTCCCCTGCTTTCCCTGCCCACCACCTTCTCTCCTTGCAGTGCGTGACGTGTGGGAAGGGGTTCAAGAAGCTCTGGTCCCTCCACGAGCACAACAAGATCGTCCACGGCTACGCTGAGAAGAAGTTCTCCTGCGAGATCTGCGAGAAGAAGTTCTACACCATGGCCCACGTGCGCAAACACATGGTTGGTGAGTGTGGGAGGCACCGGCACCGTGTGTGGGGGGGTCTTGTTAGGGATGTTCATCCATCGTTTTGACCATGAAGGGTATTGAGTTTTTTTGTCTGTGTCCATGTTGGGATTTCAGAGCTGGATTTAGTTCTGGTCGAGCTTTCTAACGTCAAGGCAAGGGGCGTGAAATTTGGCCCAGTGTTTAATGCTGGATGTTTCTGCTCGGTGCTGGGTTTGGAGCAATCAGACACGCTGCTGGGGGAGCTCATTTGTTCTGTTTCACTAGAAGGAAAAATCCTCAGAAGTGATCAAAGGAGGGTTTGAACCATCCTTGCCTTGTAAAAGAGGGCCAGACCACACCAGAGCCAGCCTCTGAAAAACAAATTGCAGAAGGCAGTGGCGGTCAAGTCCCTGGAGCTTATAGGCACCAAAGAGGTCCAAAAAAAGGGGGTTTTGGCAGACAATGAGGGGAGTACCTGATGGGTTGCTGCTGCACATCTTCCCAGGTTGGCTTTGGGTTTGCTGGGGTTGGGTGCTGGCTTTGGGAGGGAGCAGCAGCTGCAATGTGGGGACATGGATGCTCAGGGTGTGGGGAGGGCACCTGACCCTGCCCCTCTCCACTCCAGCTCACACCAAGGACATGCCGTTCACCTGCGAGACCTGCGGGAAGTCCTTCAAGCGCAGCATGTCCCTCAAGGTCCATTCACTCCAGCACTCTGGGGAAAAGCCTTTTAAATGTGAGGTAAGGTCCTGTGGGTCTCCTTGCCCCGCGTCCTCTCTCACAGGCACAAAGACACTGATCTGGGGAAACCTCTTCCACTTTGTGGGCCTGTGCTTTTTGCCAGTGCAGCTGTAGGGATGCTACCCCTTCTCCCAAACTTTCAGTCTCCTCCTGGTTTGAAGGTCTCTCCAACCTTGGGATGAAACTGGTAGCCAGCACCAGGATTTCTCTGTCCAGTACCTGGACCTTTCATCCCACCCTGAGTCCATCTCACCTGCAAACCTGCTTGAATATGTCCCAAAAAGCAATTGATTTGGGTTCTTTTAGAGGGGAAAAGGAGATTTCTGCACTGCTCTGACATGCTGGGGAGGGGGTGTGGGGGGTGTTTTGGGTGCTCATCACCCCTCTCTCTCTCCTGCAGAACTGCAACGAGCGCTTCCAGTACAAGTACCAGCTGCGCTCCCACATGAGCATCCACATCGGCCACAAGCAGTTCATGTGCCAGTGGTGTGGCAAGGACTTCAACATGAAGCAGTACTTTGATGAGCACATGAAGACGCACACGGGTGAGAGCTCCTTGCCCCCAGCCTCTGGGCAAAGCACACAGGGAGAGAGGTGGCACGTTGGAGTGAGTCCAGAGGAGGGTCAGGAAGATGCTCAAGGGGGCTGGAATACCTCTTTTGTGAAGACAAGCTGAGAATGTTGGAGTTGTTTGGTCTGGAGAAGAGAAGGCTTCAGGGAGACCTTAGAGCACCTTCCAGTGCCTTGAAGGAAAGAGGGGCTTTTTACAAGGGCTTGGAGTGATAGAGTGAGGGGGGACGGTTGCAAACTCAAAGAGGGGAGATTTAGATGAGATACTAGGGATAAATTATTTCCTGTGAAGGTGGTGAGACACTGGTACAGATTTCCAAGGGAAGCTGTGGCTGCCCCATCCCTAGCAGTGTTGAAGGGCAGGTTGGATGGGGCTTGGAGCAACCTGGGCTGGTGGGAGGTGTCCCTGCCCATGCAGGGTGGGTTGGATGATCTTCAAGTCCCCTTCCAACCCAAACCATTCTCTGATCCCACGATCTTTGTGTGTATGGCAAGATGAGCTTTGCTTTTGGAGGGGTGGGGGGAGTGTTCCAAGCCAGCAGCTCCTCACCCTGCCTCCTCCCTCCCTCAGGGGAGAAACCCTACATCTGCGAGATCTGTGGGAAGAGCTTCACCAGCCGCCCCAACATGAAGCGGCACCGCCGGACCCACACGGGGGAGAAGCCCTACCCCTGCGACGTCTGCGGCCAGCGCTTCCGCTTCTCCAACATGCTCAAAGCCCACAAGGAGAAGTGTTTCCGCGTCAGCAACCCCTTGGCTTCGGACACGGCCACCCCCCACCCCGCCGCCAGCCCGGCTCCTCTGCCCCCCGGCCCTGGCCTCTCCCCTCTACCCCTGCCCTTGCTTCATCCCCTTCCACAGACCCTCCCTCCTCCTCCTCACCTACCGCCACCCCCTCCCCTCTTTCCTGCGGGGAGGATAAATTCCAACAACAACTAGGTGCCCCCCACCCCGGCCACGTGCCTGCACGGACTGCTCTGCCCTTTGGGAACATCTCCCCACTAGGGGAGCCAAGGCTTCGCTTGCTCTCTCACCCCCACCTCCTCCTCCTCGTTTTTGGGGTTGTTTAGGGATTTCTATTAATTTTTTTTTTTTATCCCCTTTTTTCTCACCTGCCGTTCTCCGCAGAGAGGGGGAGCAGGAGGAAACATCCCCTCCCTCCCTCCCCAGGAGGAGTGTGGATGAGAGCGTGGGAGGGTAATGCTGTCCGTCCATAAGGGTGTAGGTAGGAGGTATCATCTGGTGGATCAGCTTCACCTCTGTGCCGGGATGGTGGCAGGGCTCAAGAGGAGCAGGGTGCTGAGCTGGCTGGCATCGCCTGACCCCAAGGTCCCTTCCAACCAGGATGATTCTGTGGTTCTGTGTCTGTAACCAGCTGAACCCTTGTCGTGGTGCTCAAATCCCTGTACTGTAAAGCTGGTCTTTCAATTCAGGCTCTTTTCCCAAGAGGTGGAGGTGGGCACCGCCAAGGAGCCTCCATCGGCCCTCTCTGCTGGCCCTGGTGGCCCTCAGCAAGCAAGCAGATGTCCCCACTGGAAGGCCACCAAGCCCCTCTCCTTAGTAGCCCTTGCTGCCTCCTCCTTCCCTGCCATGGGTTTTCCTCCCTAGTAGGCGAGAACACAAACTCTGGTGGCATCAGCCTGGGGCATCAGCAGCTGGTTCATTTTTGGGCTGTCCAAAGGGAGCCAGGCTCTGGTATGACCTTTCTGTGCATCCCAGCAGGAGCCAGGCTCCTGGGGATGCTCTGGAGTTGGCAGGGTGGCCCTGGGAGAGCTCAGATGACCTTGGGAGCAGTGGCCCCGTGGAAGCCCAGGATGGAGGAGTGGGATGGTGCCGATTCTTGGCAGAATCAGCCCAGAATAGTGCCTTAACAATTAGAATAAATCCCTGACCCATGGGTAAGCTCCAGGCTGTGTCCCGTTGCAGTTTAGAGCTAAAGCCAGACCACATGCAGCCTGATAACCATGTCCCATCTTCCACTCGTTGCCAGTGTTGCTCTCCCAAGCTTTCTCTCTCTCCATGGGGTTGGGAGCCATTGCCCCACCCTGGCCTGGTGGGACCAGAGGGAACTAGTGACCGCTTTGGTTGGTTTGGTGATGCCCCATGGCATTGGTTAGTGCTCCTCCAACCATGTTGTGGTTAGTGAAGTTGAGCTGGTCTTCAGCTTCACTTGTTCAGGCTGGCTCCATGCTGGTGAGGGTGGAGGAGAAGAGAAAGGCTTCACCATTCCTTCGTTGTTGGACACAGGGGTCCAGACTGAGTCTCTTGCTGCTGTGCTCTGCCCCAGGGTGTTGTATGGTGGCCTGACCATGTCTCTGTGGTCTGCCTGCCTAGGGAAGTGTCCACTTTGGTGTCAGGGAGAGCTGAGAGCATGGTACGGGCTACAGAGCATCCAGCACAGGTAGAGAGGTGATGGTCAGGAGGTGGGGTCTTGATGGCTTGCTCCCAAGGCCAGCACTGAGGATGCATGCAGATGTGGGTCAGGTCACAGGAGGTGGTGAGAAGAACTGTTAGTAGGCAAGAAGGAAGAGAGGACACTGAGCAGGCTGCAGGAACCCTTCCCATTTACACCGTGGTCTGAGTGATGATGGTGGGTGCTGGGTGCTGGGGACAATGAGCCACATCTGGCTCTGCAAGAAGTCTTGGTGCTTTGTCTCGTAGACAAAGGGAGGATGCAATGGCAGAGCTGTCTTGCTATATTGACCCACTCAGATAGGTACCAAAGGCTTCTCTGCTCTCCTTGCTCCATGACACCTAGGGCTTATTGGGAAGGTGCAAAGCCTTCTCAAACACACACCTGGGAGGGATGTGGGCACTCTGCTCTTGGGGCCATTGGCTTTCTGAAGGGACTGTGACCCAGACTAGAAGAAGTTGCTTTAGAGAAGCCTTTAGTGATATCCTTGGAGGCTGTTGGAGGGCCTCAGTAGAGTGGTCAATGTTGTCTCCTCCTCCACTGCCTCCTAGACCCCATCCCCTTGGGCTCCCTTGCATTTCTTTCCCCTCACACAGCCTCGACATGGGACGGGAATACTGCACCTGAGGAGGACTCACCTTGCCTGTAGAATCTCTGTGATGGAGCCTATCAGCTTGCCTGGCTGATAGACTTCTCCCTCCAAGCAAACCGCCATGCCAACATGTGCTCCCTTGTACCTGGAAGTGGCTTTCCCTGTCCCAGTTCATTCTCTCCTGGTGAGGACCTGACCCACTTGGACATCACAGCATGATGGGAGCTCCTCCTTAAGACTAGAAGCCCAGCAGAAAGCCCAGTGACTGATCATCCCCTTGGAGAGCCTGTCCAGAGAGCCGCTTGGAGATGTCGAGATGTGACCATGCACACAGCACTTTGGAGAACCAGATCCCTGCTGCTCCCTCCCCTCTCCAAGGCCTGAGCAGTACCCAGGAGTCCTACACGGGCTCCGAGCCCTTTTGTCTACACCCTGATTTGGCCCCGATGTGTCTCTTCATGTCTGGTTTTCGTTAACATACTGAGAGCTCCAACGAGCCGCTCCCGCGGCGTCTCGTCCCGCGTCCCTCCCGTTCAGACCCCGTTGACTTCAACAGGGCGGGAGGCGGGGGAGTTGGGTCCGTTGTTTTCAAGCTTTTTATATATTTTTTTTTTTTAATATTGTTGTTGTTTTTCGTTTAACTCTTGCACCTTAATCTCTCACCTCCCTTCTCCGACGGAGCGCGAGGGTGGAGAGGGCCTTGGTTTCCTTTGCGCAGCTGGCGAACATCGAGCCGACAACTCGGCCTCACCCCAGACCTCTCCGGCTTGGAATTTTATTTCCCTCCCCCCTTCCTTTGAACTCTGGGGAGGGAGGGAGTCATGTAGGAAGGGTCATATTTTTTATTTATCTATCCCAGGAGCCTGGTAGCACAGCCCAGTTAGCCTCATAGTGTCCATGAGGCGTGGCTGGCCCCCTTTCGGACCACAGCCATAAGCCCAGCACGGTGGGAAGGTGATGGATGGATGAATGGATGGATGGGTGGGTGGACAGCCGGCGGGTGGGAACGGCTGTGACAGTGCAATAGAGATGAGCATCCGCTGCTAGACAACTCCACTGATGAGACTCTTGGTTTGCTCAAGTCAAGAGAGAAGGATGGACGGACAGACACCCTTTGTTCACACGGACGGAGAGAGGTTCCCCGCGCGCAGCCCTGCCGGGTGACACCCAACCACCCCGGGGGTTGGGTCAGACTTGCAAAGGAAGACAGTAATAATAATAGAAATGGAAAAAAAAAAAAAAAGAAAAAGAGGAGGAACAACCTCAGTAGCATGGAACTTGAAGGAAATGAATGAAACCCCAAGCACTTGCCTCAAAACTAGTTTCTCATGCCTGGTGTCCAGCTCGGTTTTGTTTTAGGGCATTCAGTATCGGTTGCCCAAACATGCCAAGTTAAGAGTGTCTTGGTGGCTCTACTAGTGTGAACAAACTAAATGAAGCACTTTATTCTGTATAGATAAGGGAAGGTGGGGAGGGGAGGGAAGCTTGGATGCTTTTCAGAAGCATCTGAAGAAATGTTCTAGGAAATGTATTATTATTATTATTACTTTTTTTTTTTTTTTTATGGCCATGTGTAATCAATATATGTTTATCTTTAACTCCAAGTACAGCAGTTACTCTCTTTGGGATGGTATGGTGAGGGGGTAGGCTGAGATGGTCGGGTTAGTCCATCAGCATGGGGCCAACTAGAGCAAGTCATTGCCTTCTGCAGGAACGGGCAAGTCTTCCTTTGTGGGTGGCCCTGTTGGACAATGTCCAGGAAGTCCCAAGAGGTGCATCAAAGCTGCCTTCTAGGGCACAGTTCAAAGTTATCCTTGGCACCAAGGGCCCAACATGCATCCCCATCCTGAGCCATCTTCTGCCTGGGGGTGCTGGGGCTGCTCTCTGGACCACCCATGAGCAAGATGAGTCACAGTAGGCTGTTTTGGGTTGTCCTTAGCGGCCAGGTCCTTGGCCATGCTTTGAAACCTGCTTTTGGCCTCTCACCAAGGCACGTCAGGGGTCTCTGAGCTCTGAAAGTGGTGAGAGGTCAGAATTGGGCCTTTCCACTGCGTTCTCCCAGTCTGGAAGTGTTATGACTGTTACCAAAGAGGTTGCAAGTGGAAGGACTGAATCAATAAACAATTTGTCTTTTATAAAAGAACACCTAAAGCTCCACCACTTTCTTTGTTACCTTCCTTTTGATTTTTTTTGTGTGTTTGTGGTTTTAAGTCTCTTTTCAGGCAACTGTGTGAGGAGTCAGGGCCAGCAGGATGGGCTTCCCATGGCATGTTGACCAGTGCTGTTGTTTTCCATGTATAGACCTTGTGTTGGGTTTGGTGGGAAGTGTGTGCATGTATGTGAGGCAGCTGAACTCCTGTGGGGCCAACAAAAAAATAGCTTCTTAGAGAAGGGTGATGAAGAAGGGTGGAAGAAGGGACTTAGTGAGGGCTGAGCTCCTGGGTCCTTCCAACTCCATGGGGTTTGTATAAACTAGGAGCTAGGACTCCCTGAGCTCCTCTGTAAGCAGTGGAGAACCAAGGAGCCCATCCAAAAGCACCCAGTGCCTTTATTGACATAAAATGGAGTGGTGGGAACCTCATCAGCTAACGTCAGCACTGATCTTGGGAAGCTAATGGAAGAAGAGATAATTTTCCCTCACCCTTGGAACGTACCTGCTTCTTTGCTGCTGAAATTGCCCAGAGAAGACAGTCACAGAGGGACCTGTGCTGGTGGAGTTGTGTGCATCTGAGCTGGGAAAATGCCAGGCAGCAGCAAGGAGTGATGTGTCTTTGAGTCTTCATGCTGGTGTTTCTTACCTGTGATTGCCTGTGGACTGGAGCAGCCTCTTGCTGAGGTGTTTGTGACCATTTCTAAGCCAGACTTTAACTTGTCAAAGTGCAACTTGGCTGCCTTCCTTGGGCCAATGCTGGTTTGAAAGCACTGAGATTTGGC